GACTTTAAAGCAGATGAATGAAATTATTTAAAGACTACTCAAAGAGTTTATATAAGAATGGCCTTGAGTTTGATTGAACTAAACAGCCTATATTCAGGTCGTCTTGTTCTAAGTGTGGTGCAAATAGTTTACTGAAGAGATGGAGCCTTACGAACAGCTCTCTCCCCTGCCTGTATATATCTGTAGTATTAATCTGGTGTTATCTTTTTTTGCTGAAGCTGAAGTATTTTCAGGTGCTCTCTTTACTTGGTCTTTGTGCTGAATGCAGAATGACTTGTTCTGTGTGCTGAGACTTTCTGAAAACTCTGCCTGGAATTATAAGAGGTAAAAAGTAGAAACTACATCTTTAAAAAGTTGGTTTTCCTAGATAAGGCAATTACAGTAGTGTGTGTCTAGCAAAGGTGTGTTGTGTGCGTGTAAGACATACTAATATAACCTCAGATTTTTGGATTTATTATAGAAATAACGACATGATCAAAGAGAAAAAGGAACATATGTGTGCTGGTTTGGGTATGGCAGTGTGTGAATGTTTTTACCCAGGTGACAGCTTAATTTCAGTGCAAATGCCGTATGACACCTCTAGGGAAAGAAGTAATGTGACTACTTGCATTTATTTAAGAGACACACAGATTTTTAGGAAGCTTTGAAAGAACAGCTTGTCCTTCAACTTTGACAAGTTGGGGTTTTTTTTAATTGCTATTTCTTCTAGTGGAGCCTAATAATAAATAGACACTTTCTTTAATCTGTATTTCACTGTGGAAGTTGAATATAGCCACCTCTCTCTATCTGATCTTTGCTATATTTTTTCCTTTCTGTTAATGCTCTTGACAGTGTGGAGAATTGCGGTCAACAAGGAGAAAAACATCTAATATTGCAACACCCCAATATAACTTACAATCATCAAAGCTGACACTTAAGTCTTACAGCAGCACAGTAAAAGAAACCTTGCTCCAGGAGAACTAAACAATAATAACAAAAAATCCCTAGATGCCTTCTTTGCATTTTTACTGTTTACAAATACTTTAGGAGGAAAAAAGAAATCTGCAGTGTGCTCTGCAGGTCCTCTGATGTTCCCGTGGTGCCCTGGTGCTTCTGAGGTGATTCCTAGTTTTGCCTTCTGTCTGGGAACAGCTATGTGCTTAAACACCCAAGTTGTTTCCTGCATGGGGTTTGTGTGGCTGACCTACACCCTTTGTGCCAGCCACCACCCCTTTTTATTGGCAACAAAGGATAACTGCCTCCGATCAATACTTCTAATTATTTTTCCTTTATTAAAATCTTACCTAACTTCAAGACAGCTTGTAAATTTGGAGACATCCACTTAAACCTAAAAGATATTTTTTCTGTTATGGAAATTGCCAGAAGTGAAATATCTGAATTTTTTTGTCTGGCTTCCAAACAGTAAATAGTCTAGAGACCCCAAATTGGTTTTGTTAAGTTTTTTCTTCATTTCCTTATGAAAAAAACCTCCACCAACAACAAAAAAACCCCAAAACTAAGAACAAAGTACCAGTTACTCAGTTGAAAGGTATTTTGTTGTCAAATGCCATGGGTTTATGCAATGAGTGAGGAATCTTTGGGGACCAGAGCATTCTCTGTGTTAACTGCCCTGTTACTGCTTCAAGGATCAGGTAATGAAAATAGCACCAGTTAGCAGGATACTGAAATGAAAATTGTCAGCGGCAGCTAGAAGGCACCTGCACTTGTTTTGTGCATTAAGAATATGCTGGTGACTCACAGATGAATTCTTGGAGAATTAGTATCCCATAAGTTCCTCTTAAGCTGCCATTGTTGCTACCTTATCAAAGTTGGAGAAAGCTGATCTTTTTAAAAGCTGATGAAAACTGAATCTACTGAATTGACCTCATCCAGAAAATAGCTTACAAGTTATTGGGTAATCTTCATTTTACAACCTTTTGCAATTTTTTTTTTCCTTTTTGCCTGGGAGAAATGCTAGTTCCCTCCAGAATGGTGCTGGAGCTTTTGTTCTTTACCATCTTCCAACAGTAGAATTGCTATGCCTGAGCCTTATTTGGCATCAAGAAGAAAAACAACTCCTGAGAGTCTGTGCCCAGCATTTGAAAAATAGGGTTTTTAATAGTTACAGCAAAACAGTATTATTTGTACAGAGATATAAAGGGCCTGCACAACTGAACTATTGATTAGAGTCTAAAATCTGTCCCCACTCTTCCTGTGTTCCTTGCATGTTCCAGTCGACTCAAGCACTATTACTGTGGTCTAAGCATCAGTGCTTGTGAAACCACATGTAGTCAAACAGATTTCAAGTATGAATTTCATCTCCAGCGGCTTGTACTGCCACTTCTCTTCCCCTGGCAGGAGTTTTAATGCTGTAATGTATACCTTGATTATCTACTCTGCCTTGGGAGAGTGAGTTGTGTACATCTGTCACTGTAATGGTCACTGCTTGTGTTGAAGCACTTTTCATGGGAGGTGTTTTGCTGGATCTCAGAAGAGTAGCATTTTATTTATCAGATTTATGGCAGACTTGATGGTATAATCCAATAATATTAAAAAACCCCAGCCAAGCGAAAACCCCTGAAGGCTATACAGCTTCCTTGTGTGTTGCTGTAAGAAGCATAGAGAGTTTTATTAAAACTTCACTCTCTAGTGAATTACAACTTTTGTAGATGGAAAAAGAATAGGAAAATGCTTACAAAAGCTCAAGAGTAATTCAACAACGTGGCACACTGTTAAAACACTTAGTTTCAACTAAGAGACAGTGGAGGTGTGAAGGAGAAAGAATATCTATGACATGAACACTAAACTTTCTCAGAACTGTAGAAAATAACCAGGACTGTATACATGGGCAAAGCATTATTTAAAACCAAGAACAGACTTCTGTGGTCCCTATACACTTTGTGTATTTGCTTTCTACTTTAGAATATTTGGCTTTTGGCATTTAAATCCCCTCTTTCATTTGGGCACAAGAGGAAGCTGAGTTTGATGAGAGTCTAAAACATTAGTTTCCTAATTTGTGTGTGGTTTTTCCCCTGCACTGGCTGTTTTCACTTTGAATATCTCCTGCCCAAAGAAGAAATGCTACTTTTTTTGGAGAACAAAATTAGTGTGATGTTTGTCTTCATGTACTTGCTATGTGTACATGTTGGAGGTAAATAACTCTTGTCAAGTATTTATCGACTCGCTTTATTTTTGGTAGAGGTAAATCTGGAAGCACAGCTTGCACTCTGAATAAATTTTCATCTACTGCTATGAGGGATAACTCTGAGCAGGGAGGTGAGGAGGCTGTGGCTTTAGGGGTGATCTTGGCGGCCAAGGTGGGAGTCAGAAGCAGGAGCTCCTGGTCTTCACACCTCATGCTGAGTTCTGAGCTCAGCAAGATTAAGCACTTCTGCTCTTCAGAGTCAAGTTACTGACTCATGAGTCAGTGGGCAACAGGGACTGGCACTGGGAGGAACAGCAGTGTCCAACCTTTGTTCCTCCTTCTGAGCTGAGAGGGGAGCAAGGGGGCAGGGCTGCTGATTTGCTGGACTGAGTATAGAGTTAGTCGTGAGCACGTTCTGGTTTGCAAATTAGAGACAGTTTTTAAATTGCTGAAAAGTAAATTTTGGAGTAAAGATTTAAAAGAGCCTGTTAAGTAAACCTTTCTGTCTATTTACAGTTAGCTTGTTCACCTCCTTTGGTACCAGTACAGTGTATTAGCTTCAACAGGTGTCAGGTTGCATGTTGAACAAGTGTTGCTGATGTTAATAACTGCTATTTTGTGCTATCTTGGTCTAATTCTGATATGCTGATCATGATGAAAAACAAATTCTGACACTGTTTCATTAGTAATGGGGGGAAATGCATGTGATGATAGCTACTAAGTGGTTCATCAACTGTGTGATGAAAAAACTTGCATCCCCAGTTCCAGTCAAATACAGCATGCAAGAGTTATCTTATATTCCTCCTGTATCCTGTAACAATATGAAAATTGGCTGAGAGAATTATTTTCAGAGAACAGAAAATGTGTCAAAACCTGAATCAGAGCATTCCTAAGAGTCTTGGTGCTAGAAACACACACATGTCTCTGTTGTGAAATATCTTTGTGCTAAGCATGCAAACTTCTGTGGTTACGTTAGATTACTGTATTTAGTAAGACATCATGGATGTTTTCTATTATGTAATCGTGTTCTTTATATTGTGACCTCCTTTCCTAATAGTTTTACAAGATCATAGAATCATTAAGGTTGGAAAAGACCTCAAGGATCATCAAGTCCAACCCAACAATATGCAAAGAGCAGGCAGGTAGCCTTCCCTGAGTGGTACACTTGTTTCAAAGTAAAGCAAAGCTAAGATTTGAGTTAAATATAAAAAATTACTTCTAAGATAAGTTTCTTTACTATATCCTATAATTTATGCATATATTTGACTATGTACAATTGGTGATAGATGTTTAGAGTGCAAACTTCGTAGTGTCTGTGTGTGATTATTTTGTTTTCAGGTGTTTTTCCCCTTCCCCTTTCCCAAAATCAGAGAGATCCACAACAACAAATTATCTCTTTGGACCATAACAAAACTTCTTTTCTTGACAGATAAGAAGTGTGTGTGATGAATACATACTGTATCAGTAATGAAGCATATAAAGGTGTGTCTGCCAGTCATGATGTATATGGATCTGGCACCCACAGGTCTCAATCAGACAGAGGATTAGGACCCTGTCTGAAATGAGTTTAGTAGTAAACTGGAATTGTAGGTCTGTAAAGCAACTGTACCTTAGAAAACCCAAGGAAACAATAGATAGTAACTCAGTCTGCATTCTTATGAGGTATTTTCAGGCAATCAATTTTATATTTAGGACTCAATTTTATATTTTGCTGTCATGTAATGGGTTGTCATCCGCAGTGGGTGCTATTCGGTTTTCTGGAATGCCTGCCCTTGGATTGACACCTGGTATATTGAAAGTCACAAAATGCAGATGAAGACAGGCAGAACAAAGGCACTTTAATATCTCACAACAATCTGTGCTAGATATTTATTTTCTACTGCCAAGCAGAAAGCATGGAAACATACTGACTAATTTTCACCAGAACAATGATCAGACATCCACCAGTAAACATGAGTGTAGGCCAAAGGAAAGCAAAGAGGAGGCCTTTCGGGGGATAAAGTCTGCTTAAAATGACATTGGTCTGCATTCCTCCTGGGTCATAGTAGCATGGGAAAGTCTGGTATTTTTTGAAATTGCTTGCAATTGTTTCTACTCGTGCTTTAACTTCTTTAGAGTTCTCCAACTTGTCTGGGACGTACGAGCACTGGAAGAAGAAATCAAGGTGACTCATTATACCAGGTATTCAAATACAGGGTTTGTAATTAAGTCAGGTTGAGTAAAAGAAACATACTATACCGAAAAAATCTTTTGTGGTTGGGCTAGCATCCCTGGAGATTGTTTTTGTTTTCTTATGTCCATAACCTGTTTGCCATGCTTCCCTGTTTCTGTCAGTATGTCTGTGCCCCAGTCTGCAGATTTACAGGTTGGAGTAATGTTGGAAACCAATAATATGAAGTTGAAATAAAACTGAGGTCTTTGGAACGTTCACTTTATTATTACAGTGCCAAGCTCAGATTCTGAACAGAGATTCTAGGCACCACCACAGCAGAAATGTGTTGTGCAGAAATTCACAACCAGCTTGTCAGTGTGCAGGAAAAAAAAATTCCTTCACTGTGCACCTCTGGTTGTAACTTGTAGACAAATAAGAGGAAAGCATGGCTGTTGGACACTTCCTACTTGTCCTCGTAACACAGAACCTGTAGCAATAATGCAAAGTTATTTAGTCTTCAGTAGAAACTCTATTAGACTTTGAAGCACTCATTTTTTTGTTGTTGCTATTCATGAGCTTCTTTCCTGCAATATTATTTTGCATACATAATAATATTTAGGTGTTTTAAGCTGGAAACTGGCTAAGGCAGAAGGGGACAGTTCCTGACCTGAGGGCTTGTACTTGCAGTAGTGCAACAGTTGGAAGGAAATCAGAAATTCGCCTCCTTTTGCAAGAGGAGCAAGACTCTTGTTTCAATCTATAACAGATAATTTCTGCTTTGCTACTTCATTGTATGTAGCTTTCCCTGAGATAGTCACTATAAAGATAGGCATTCTCTTAAGCTTAAGTGTTTTATGCTATCAGATTCGCAGGGTGTGCAACTCTAATCTATATAATTTCTTCAAGAAGATGAGCACTTGTAGTCTGAGCATGCTTGTGTTTTTTGACTCTGAAAGTGCTTTGGTCTTGGGCATCCAAAATCTGAATTTCTCTTTACGTCCCCTTAGAGAGTGTTGAGCTGGAGTAAGGCCTGTGAAATACTAGTGGTTTTGGAACTAAACTAAACCTGACTTTTCTTGGGACAGTGTACTTGCAGGAGCACTTGTGGTTGTGCGGGAGCAAGCCTAAAGATGTTGAGCTCTTTGCCGATTCCCAAGTAGAAACACTAGCAGAAGTGAAAGGATAACAACCTACTGCTTCCCTTTCCCCGATCTTTCACAAACCTCGAAAGCCAAATTAATACTGTGCACCCCCATTTCTGTCCCACCCATGTCCTGCACCGATCCTCTGGGGAAGAGATCCCTAAAACGACCGATCCAGGGTCCTCTGCTGCAATACCCAGCACCTCTGCATTGCACAGGTGCTTCCTATAGCACCACTGCTTTCTGCATGAGTCCAGGTTTCTGCTGCAATGCTGGCCAGACCAAACTGAAAACAAATGAATTTTCTGGATGATCATCTTCCAAAAGTACTGATTTGTTTTTCCTTTCTGTCTAAAGTGTGCGTCAAGTTCCCAACAGTACCCTCATTTTTTCCTTTCTCTGCTTTCTTTATTACCTGCTTCATATCACATGCCTAAAATGGGAGTAAAATTGGGATTTGTGCTCTTACTTGGGACAGTTTTTAACTTCAGGTCTCTCCTGTGGTAATTCAACAAGCAACTGAGCAAACCACAGCTTATACACTATTTCTTATCGTTGGTTTAAAAATAATCACCCCTCCTTCTCAAAGATGATAGATAGTAGCAGAGAACAATTATTCAATCTGTGTTGCAAGTACCTTGGGATTTTTGTCCAGTGTATCTTCAGTGTGATAGAGCATAACCTCCTGTCCTGACGCTGTTAGATTAACCCACACCTGGAGACAGGGATAAGGAAAGACATCCTCATCCTCTGAGCCTTCGCTGTTTGGGCAGAGAACTTTGTCCATGATGTTGACTTTGAGTACTTTGCACACAGTTTCTGTTGTCCAAACACTACAAAAACAAAACAAAAGCTATTGCTTTGAAAAACTCTAGCAGCACCAGTTATGAGTGACATGCTGGAGATGCATCCGTGTGTGCCAGCTGTGAGTGGTGGCATGGGTCGAGTTCACAGCTGTTCAGTCCTGGTGTGGTGAACTTTGCCCACCCTGAATCGAGGGCTGCACCTGCAGAAGGGCTGCCATAGGAAAGCATTTTTTTGGTGGTGGTTGTTGGTTGTTACGTGTTCTGTGGTTTGAAGTTAGATTCTAACCCCCTTTGTAATCAGCTTCAAGTGTTATTCAAGAAAGGAAAAATTGCTATGGATTGTAATGTCTGGTAGTAAATATTTGCAAGCGCAACATGCTGGTAAAGCTTGACCTTATTATTTGAAATGTGGCTGAACATAGTGGAGCTTCTGATGTCTCAGAAATATTTTGACTAATTTCATCCTATAATTCTAAAAACTCTGATCAGTTCCCACGTTCCCCCCTCCCTTCCTTTTCGTTACTATGTAGACCTTTCGCATGAATAAGTAGCAAGATTTTGTCTGGCAAAAGTTATTTTTTTGCTGTCACTATTGCCTTTTCCTCAAAGTTACTCTTTTATTACTGACACTAAAGTAAGCTTTTGCTCACAGCAGTACACTTTGGCAAAAAAATAAATAATCACACTCCAGTTCTTAAGAAATGAATTTTTTTATATGCAAATATCTTTTGTAAGGTAATCATGAGGCTGTAAAATACATAAAATAAATGTTAATTGCTCTGTTTTAAAGACAATATTTTTCAAACATTTCTGAGCTTAAAGGTGCTTTTAGTAAGAAGAATGAAGTGGATGTACTTGCTTTTGCCATCAAAATCTGCAAGCATGAAAAACTGAGCTACACTCTGTCCTGTTAGTTTGGTTTTTTTGCAAATTGATTTTGTGTGTGGAGGCAGAACTTGCAATATGAAATAAAAACGTGGGTAATAGCAACTTCCTCACCATTCATTGTATTCTGCATCATTTGCTGTTGTAGATTGGGCTGTTGAAGGTGCTAGTTTCTTATGATGGTGGGTTTGGCAGTAAGATACACATTATTGCCTGAGCAATTTCACCATTACTTATGTTACGCAAGTTTATATTTTTATTGAAAACACTCTCCTGCACATGGAAAATCTTGCTTTTTTTTTTTTTTTCATTTTTGCAAGACTTAGCTTTCCATTATCAAGCTTTGATAAGCACTGTTGCTTTTTCTTTTACATGTTTTCATAGTAAATGTTTTGGTTGAGTCTGTTTCCGTTCTCACCCTGAGCATGATCATTCGTTGTTGTGCTTACCAGTAATTGCCTGATCACTTCAACTCACTTTTTTTCTTTCTCTTTTCTTCGGTCTTAAATTCTTATGAGCTCTTCAAGAACATGTTGTTTATTCATTGTACAACGTACTGATGTATATTTTGGTGCTGTTTCAATAATTGTATTTGCTGACAGGAAAAAGAAATAGCTTTATATTCAGAAACAAATTACTGTTATTACCTTTTAGTGTAGAATGGCACAATGGTGATCCCAATAAAAAAGTACATCATCATGGAGCAGGCAACCATTCCCAGTCCCAGGCACAGGGCTCTTGTCTCCCCTCGTTTCTGTGCAGTCACTAACTTTTTTCCCAACATGATTTAGAGTTGTGAAATCGGAACAATCCCTTTCTGGTGTAAAATAAAATACAGAAAGGAGAGGGAAAACATAACTAGGATTGGCTACAGGTGTCCAAGCAGTGTAAAAAGTTTCTAAAATATAATTTATCCCATGGTGAAATAGTCCTATTTTTGTAAAAATTATAATTTTTTAAAAAGTTACTGTGTTTTGTTATGAGTGGGCTCCTTTTGACTCCTTTACTTTGCCAAAGTTATGGCAAATGACAGGACTGGCAAGATTAGTGTGGGGTTTTTGGGGAGAAGGAAGGAAAGCAGAGCAGAAGGACAAAGGGAAAATATGTTACATACATGGCGAAACAGGATTCAGTCCTGTTCTCATGTACAAGACAATGGTGTGCAGCTTCATGCAGTAGCTGGTGCGTTTTCAGGATTTCAGCTCCAGGTGAGTGCAGCTATTTAATCTTTATCCATATTGGCTGGCCTTCAGGATGGTGTGGTCCCTGCCTAAATCCACCTGTGTTCAGCTAAGCAACAGAGCAAATCCCAAGAGTTAAGTTTATATCCAGTATAAGACAAGCACAGCGCAAAGTTAGCAACAGGCTCTTCAGGTTGACCATGAGTAGGTGGTCTCCAGCTGCCCCAAGCTGTCAGACATGTGAAGTGTTACTGGGGGTGGAGGGTAACACTGAGTTTGGTGAAAGATGAGATTAAGACACCATCATCTCTCAAAAAAACATAAGTATAGTCTGAATGTTGTTAACTTTACTATTAGTTCTATTTTTCACTGGTAAAAGTGCCTTACTTTGACTGTTTAACGATCAAAGGAAGGAAGTATTTGAACATTGAAATACTACTGTTTTTAGACTACTGTAACACCTGAATGTTAGTGTTGTTAACAATAAAAATATAGCAGTCTGTGGACAGTAAAACAGCTTTGGTCATTTAGCATAACTTGAGGCTAGTTACAGAACTTCTGAAGTGTATATATTGAAGTTGGTAGTGCATAATACCAAAATGGAAGGCTGTTCTGAGGTGACCCTAGGGACAAAAGTAGTTACTGTTGTTGGAATATTGAATTTTGTCCAGTTCCATATTTAATTCCACTTTAAATAAAACATCCATATCCAGTCTGAATTTTGCATACAGCATTTTGAGAGGAATTGCTTTGCTGATGATCATGTATAATTCACTGGCATTGTAAGAAGCATCTTAATTTGGTGATTGCCATATGATGAACCTTACTTGCTTTCTGGCACTTGAGTTTAATACAGAATGTGAGCTAATGCCCTTAAACAAGAGTGTATTGTGTTTTTCTTGGTCTATGGGGCTATGAATAGAACATCTGGCATCAAGCACTGTCAGCATGCTCGTGCTGTGTGGGAGTATTTGTGTGTAACCACGTGCAGGGGTACGTGCACCCTGCAAGGAAACTTGGGCAAATGTCAGTAGTGACCATTCCTTGGAAACTTCTGTCATTTCTTTTAGTTCTGTGGGGAGGAAGTGGAAATAGCATTTTCAAAAACCAAAGAATTAAAAAATATTTAAAATACTGGAACACTGTACAACACAGCACCTTAAGCCCTGACACTAAACTGACACTCCTTTACCTATTGTGCAGCTTGGTCAGAGGGGAAAAGGGAATAAAGGAACATCATCGGTCTCGGAGCCTGGGCCCGTAGACTGTGTAGTACCTGAGTGGCAGTTCCTCATAACACAGTGGGAAGCTAGTGATGGGCAAGTTGTGTTAGCACAAAATTCTTACATACAGTAACAATGATTCGTCTTTAATTAGTTCTGTGGGAAATGAAAAAGTGAAAGATGGGTACTGCCACCATGACTTGTAGAAAATTTTAGTGGCCTAGTGCTGTTAATCTGTTGAGTTTTAGATGAACCATAGTGTTTGCATAGCTGTCCCAGTCATGCTGAGAAATACTGGGGTAATCAGACCTGCCAGGCTACCTCTTAAGACACATAAGGAGTTTGTATGTGTAAACTGGAAAATTTCACAAGTGGCCAAGAGGTTTTCCCGGCATTATGTGCAGCGTTGTTCCCCATCCTGACACCAGCCAGGCGGCCTGACGCTGGTTCTCTGTGTGGGCTCCTTTTTGCCTCTGTTCCCCCAGTTCAGATGTGTCTGCTCCACCCAGAGAGAATAAGGACATATGATTTATGCGGAGAATGTTAACAAGAAAGATTGGTCTAAAAATATCTCACTGAGTGCTTCTATAAACATAAAAAATAACTGGCTAGGTCTTCAGGCAGGGTAAATCAGAGGTGGTCGTGTCACTGTTGTGTTCCTGCACAAGATTAGCTGTAAATGTGGTCCCTGAAACCTATATACGTACTTCCTGATGCATTTTTTTATGTTTTAAAATTTAGAAGACCAGAAATACCTGTAATACCATGCCTGTGCAGAATAATTTAAGAGTTAGTGAAGGAAACCCCACGTGCACTCATTTTTTCTTTTTTCATGTATAAATATTTTTATGTTCTTGTATTGAAAATCCTGCATTTTCTGGCTATTTCAAGACAAAGGAATGCTGCATGCATATAGAAAAAAACATTTATTTGGAATTTCCCCAGTGTTTAAAAAGTAAATATTTTTCAGATTAAAAATTCTTATCTTCTTTCTCCTAGTTCTGTCAATGTATATTAGGAGGACTGTTGAAAGAGCTAATTAAGTGTTTTCTCCGACAAAATCATTAAAGCTTTGAAAAATGAAGCACTGCAGAGGACTTGATTGACCTCTGAGCTTATTTGAGTTGGAAGATGTTGAAATGTATAGTGTGGGTTTTAGTCCGGCCTTTAAGAGCAAATCTGAATGTATCTTTTGCACTGAAGATTGTGGGGTGCCTCCATAATTAGGAGGAAAATATAAGCTCCAGATCTTTTTCATAATGTTCCCTCTCCCTAATCTTCAAACTAGTTAAATTGTACAGCACATTAGCTGTGCACTTTCAGTGTCTAATCTCTGCATTGACAGGTGCTGGTGATAATGCTAAGGATGCCATCTGCTCCACTTTGGAACAGAGTTCCCTGTTTTGATTAGTAGTTGTGTTTTGATACGTGGTGGGAAGTCCCTGTCTTCTCCTCCATCTCTCAAGGAATTGCCAGTGCCGTGACCTCTGAGTTTGGATGGGACCCCTCTCTCGTGTTCAGGCTGCTCTTAACTGGGTCTGGCAGTATCGGTAACACTGATGAATTCATCTTGCTTACTTGCAGAAAAAGGGTGCTAAACCCTTCACTCAAATTTAAGTTGGGAATAAATATTAACATTTTAATGTTAATTTTTTTTGAGCTGGCTTATCCTACACCATATGGTGAATTTCCAGTGAGTGTTTATGTATTGCTCTCAGCTTATCATCAAGTGCTAATACTACTTCATGCCAAGAAGTGTGATGCAAGTCACACGCATCTCTAAAGTGATGAGGATTTTTTAAACGAGCCTGGAAGCTTTGGCCTCTGCTGCCCCTGCATGCAAAGTAACCATTTGCTTTCTCCTGTCAAATGCCCATTGAGTTTTATTCTCAAATCACCTCGTATAGACAACATAAAAATTACTGGCTTTGCTGGGTGTGTAAGAGGAGCATAGTATTTATTGTCAGTTTATTGGTAAAGTACTTTTTGTGGGAACCAGAAGGCAATCGTAAGGTTTAGATCTATAAATGATCTCTATACTCGCTGTGCTACTGCGGCAGAGCTGTACAGCTTACGTATTTATTGTCTCTGCATAAATTAGTTCAATCACTCACTCTTGCCTACCTGTTTCCAATTTTAGCACTGCTTAGATTGTTTTTCCTTTCCATTCCAATCCTGCCCTCATACTTTTCTCATCCACCGCCCCACTGCTTACACCCCGGGAAACAGGCCTGAAGTCAAAACCACATTTGCATTGGCACTTGTTTCCCCTTTCCCTGCCCTCCAATTCATATGCTAGCGTTTATGTGCGTTTCTTGCCTATGGCAGATCTGCCTTTGCAAGGGGTGCTAGGGCCAGGGAACACCAGTTTTGTTCACTGCAAATTGGTAAGAACCCATTACTTAAAAAACATTCTGTGCATCTGGGACCACAAATACTGTGGTGCTCAACCTCGATGGAAATGTGCACAGAAAATAAGATTCTGTCATGTACTCGTGCAGCTGTCTTGGAATCCTGAAGCAGCAATATTTTGACTGTGTAACATGATACAACTATAATTATTTTATGAAATATGCTGTATCATTTTACTTTACTATTGAACTGTTTACCTGATCTGACTCTAGAGTGAATTAAAGGTAGCTTTTTTGTTTAAAAACGATTTTTTAAGAGTAATTCTGTTTGCTTTTAAAGCTGTCTGTGGTTCTTAAAAATAGAAAAAGAAAAAAAGAAAAAAGTTACTTGCTCAGTTCAGCAGTTCTGAAGTTTTTCTAGAGTGCTTCTTTTGTATTCTGTGCAGTACAGGGCTGCACAGAATGAATCAATTTAAGAGTAGATTTCAGGGAAGCCTGAAGGAGTTCAAGTGCCTGGTTCCTCTCTAACTTAAAGGAAACAAGCAGAGCCTTTAGAGGAATGCTGAACGCCCGAAGCCATGGAACTCCTAAGAGTAAAGGTGTATTTACCATTAAAATGAATAAAGCTATAATCTCATATGGGCTGCAGACTCCTAAGCTTCTGTTGTTTGTGAAAATATTTGTCACCTTTGCTAATAATTATGGAGAATTATTAGATTGATTCCAGTTACAAAAGAGAGAATAACTTTTCTGTAGCATGTGGGCTAGCTGGGCTGTCCTCCATAGTGCTGCCGATTTAGATCATTGCTTTTCAAAACACTGTACTTTTCAAAACCCAAAGCTATTGCATGCTCCCAAGGAAAAATGGTTGCTTAGAAATATACTTACTGTTTTTGATGAAATGCTTCTTTCTCTGATGAAAAAACTTCTGTTATGTGACAGACTTGGGATAGTAGTGGAACTTAGAGCTGAAAGGGATTTTTTTTTTTTTTCCTTTCCTATACTTGAGTTTGCTTTGCTGTGGCTGAA